GACTTTAGATTTCCATTCATTGCTTGTTGCACTTTTCTCCCTGTCCACCATTCCCCCCCAGTTCGCTCTTCTCTTTGAAAAGTAAAAGAAAAATTCTTTCATTGTTATACAATCCCTCCCCCCAGGTCCACTCCATTATACAGCCTTCGTTCTGGACTCCAGTCATGACAATAATACCTAATCATATATCCCTTTTAAACAGTTCTCTCCCTCATTTGTTTCAATGAAATACTCTTAAAAGAGAAAATGGCAAGACTTTGCCTCACATGCTCTGTCTCTTAACTTTTTATTGTGATGTGAGTGAAAGTTTACAGAGAAAACTGTTTTTTTCAGTCAACTATTCATAAACATTGATGACAGTCTTCTTTTGTAATAGCACTCTTACTCTTCCTCCTCCTCTCATTTCCAATCGTTTTTCTATCCTATGTCCTTCTTGCCATGTGAGTTTTATTTGTGGGCAAATGCTAGCTTTTATTTCTTTCTTATTGTGTGTGTGTGTGTGTGTGTGTGTGTGTGTGTGTGTGTGAGAGAGAGAGAGAGAGAGAGAGAGAGCGCGCACACGAGCGCAAGTGCAGTGAGATACAAACCCAGGCCCTCAAAGAGACTGGAAGCTCAATTTTATTGTGATTTTAATGAAAGTTTACAGAAAAGTTGGATTTTCATTCATTAATTGTTGCACATTTTCCTCCCTAACTACTTCCCAGTTCACTTTTTAAAAAATTATTCATTGTTACACAATTTCCTCCCTCCCTCCCCTCCCCCAGTCCACCTTTTTGATCTTGCATAATTGTTTTAAGGAGTGAATGCTACCTCCCTAGTGTTCACCTTTCAGACCTGCCTTTGGCTAAAAGTTGAGCCTTAGGGATGAATGCATTGCCAGGCTTGAAGGGTGACCAATGGCCATAGTCTCAAGGCTTTCCCCCATCTCTGTAAAATCAAGAAGCCTGGCCATTTTTAGTATTTTAGAATTTGTTTCACATTTTTCTCCTACTTTCCCACCACCTGCTGTAACTCCCTTTAGAGCAGTTAGCAGTAGCAGCCAGATACCATTTAGTTCTGGTCTCAGGGTCATGGAGGTTGAGATTCTTGTGGTTCATTAGTGTTTTGAGTTAATTGCTTCCACATGTATTTTATTTTCTTCATTATTCTTTGCTTCAGACAGAGAACAGTAGTTGAACCTTCCATGGCTGCTCTTACACTTTTAGGATCCCAGTTCCTACTCAGCAAAGTAGGATGCAGAACATTGTCTTTGCGGATTATATGATTCCAATTATGATGCACACTACACACACACTATGGTTCTGAGTTCCCAGGACCATTCCCTTAGGGGTGTTTGCTTATGGTTAAGAAGTTTATGGAATATTGCCCCCTGCTGATTCTACTGTGTAGAGTACTTTCCTGAGTTCTATGTCATTCTTTTGGATTATTCAACTTAAGTAATAGAGACCAGCAGGTCAGAAATGACGGTATCATAGAGACTTCCCAAGTTTGTATCTGAAGTTTGGAGTTTGAGTAGGTTTAACAGCGTGGAAGACATTGCCCCTTAAATTTGTGAGATCTGACCTAGCAGAGGTTAGGTCCCAAAAAGAAAGACCTTGCATATACTGTATATACACTGTATATATATTTGTATATGTATTTATATAATTATGTATATACTATATATGGACAATCTCTTACTGTGTGATTTACAGCCTCAGACATCCAATAGTGAGTAACTTTCAACTTGACAGCAATGAGAGCTAGAGACCTCAGTCCCTTCATTTTCTGACAGTGGCTTAGAGGCTCTGGGGGAATCTCCACCCTGTTGTTATAACTAGGATTTTTATGCAAGTATATACTTGCATATACAGCTGAACAGAACAGACTGCACTGAAATGAATACAAATAAATTTAATACGCTTCACGGTATGTGTGCTGGTGCATCCTCAAAACAGGCATTAAGTATCTGAATAGCAGTTGGGTAGCACAAGATAAGTCTGGGTTACTTAATGAGGATAAGCACAGTCTGGTTTGGAGAATTCTTGAGGTATCCATTGTCCTCCCAATGGCAGTTTGTGATATGAGAATAAACAACAGGACATCTCAAGCTCAGGGCAAAAAGAGCTAACAGACAAAAGTATATAAAGGTTACTTACTTTCTTAACAGTGCATGGTCTCCTCCCAACTTATTACAATTCTCTAGCACCTGTCATCATCAGTTAATCTGAAAAATGACCACATCATATGCATTTCAGTAACAGTAACAATGGAAAAGAAGATGGCTCTCATTGCTGTCAAGTAGCAACTTACTTTCTATTGGATGTCTGAGGCTGTAAATCACACAATAAGAGATTGCCCATCTTTCTCCAGAGGAACCGCTGATTGAGTTGAACCACCAGAGAGGAATGGTCTTTGGGTTGGCAGGGCAGATTGGACTACATCACCAGAGTGTAATCTGCAAAGAGATTGGGCGAGGGGAGGTCCAGGCCTGCTTACTACAGGTCTCCATGGGTTAAAGAGTTCCCACTTTTCTAACTTCCCCATTACAGGGGATTGCACCACAACATCCATCATAAAGTGTATAAAATTTACTTGTATAGGGGAGCTCTGGTGGCCTAGTGGCAAGGAGCTGCAATTACAATCCCAGAGGCGCACAGTTCAAATCCACCAGATGCTCTGCCGGGCAAGGAGGGACAATCTCCTCCTGTACCAGTCAGATCTGATTTGACGGTACACTCACAGAAAAATAATAAAATAAAATAAAAATTACTTGTAATCAATTTAGTGCAATTCTTTCAATTCAGCTGTATATATAGTATAGTATAGTATAGTATAGTATAGTATAGTATATGTAAGGTCTTTCTTTGACCCTAACCACTGCTAGGTCAGATCTCACAAAATAGAGGGGCACAGTTCTCCATACCACTAAGTCTGCCCATGCTTTAAGCACTCTTAGTGAGGCCCTGGGAGTCAAAGGCCTTTCCCCTTGATCCTTCTAGAACCCTACTGCTGTGGATGGTGTTGTCTTTCAAACCCTAAAATGTCTGACAGTGGCTTTTCCCATATTTCCTTTTCCAGAGAGCATGAGGGTCTGAGAATGCTTTCCGACCCCCTTCCCAAGCATCTGTGGTGTGAGCTGGACCTACTCTGGGGGAAGTTCTCTGTGATGTTCTTACACTGCCATCAGTCTCTGGGGAAAGAGGATACAGTCAGGGCTCCAACAGAAGCACCCAAAAATGGCAATAATATGTCAGAAGCTCACAGGAGATGATAATAGGTCAAAAGCCCATAGGCAAAACCATGGATTTCTCCTTGGGCAAAAACATAGAAAAGTGCAGAGTGTTTTCCAGTGTCAATGACTGATACAGTGTAGATCAGACTAAAGGTATAATGGGTTGGACCAGATAGGGGTCCTGAATGGCTGATCAAGAGGCACAGACTCTATGCCAAGGATAGCGGGGAGTTTGAGCATGCCCTCCAGGCTACAATGTGGATGTGTTTCAGAAAAGAGCAGAGCTGAAAGGGGAAATCTGGAGGTGGCTTAGACAGGAATTAGGCTGAGGGATGAGTCCTGATCCAGGGCTGAGTACACAGATGGAGAAGGGGAGGCACGTTTGAAGGACAGTACAGAGGTAAAAATCAACAATATACGGTGACCTATGGTCCATTTTCTGCAACCAGAAATCCAGTGTGGTTATAAATGTGAAGTTGCTTCCCTCTCCTCCCCAGTCCTCTCCAGGTTTCACAAAGAATCCACTGGGAAATGGAAAGGAAACAGGACGTTCTGTTCCAGTGAGTCACCAGGCCTCTGGCTTTCAGGCCTGTCCTCACCTCCCCACAGCCTTGCTGCCCTCCCCTTCTTCTCTCCTCTCCCTCCCACCCCAGCTCACAGGCACAGGCTGGAGGCCTCAGAACAGGACTTCCTTTGTCACCGTGGGATTTCACTGGCCATTTGTGGCGTGTTTGGGAGCATGTCTTTTAGCTTTGATTAAGACGAGATGGACTGTTATCGATTCCATTTTAGGGAGGGAAACTGAGACTTGGACAGCAAGTGCTCTCCATGGTCACCTACCAAGGTTGACCGGAGCTCTTGACAACACAGTGGGAGTTACTCATCAATCAAGGTAAGCATGGGTTTACTTGTGCTTACCTCCTAATCTGTAATAAATAATTTCACATTTTGTCACGACACGAAAGATACAGCTTCTATGCATGACTGGCATATCTGTCTCTCAACCCCACAGTACCTTCCTACGGAAACAAAGCCTCTTTTCACAGACCCTGGCAGGGACTGAGTACCCAGTAAACAAGGTAAGCATGAACCTGTGCTTAAATACAGATCTGTAGTGAAGAAGTTCAGCTGAATTGTAAATTGTTGTTCTTGTTGAGTATCACTGAGACAGAGCCAACCCATAGCTGACCCTCCATCAGGTTATCAGAGACAATTAATCACACAGGAAGAGGCTGCCCATCTTTTTCCCAAGAAGCAGCTGGTGGTTCTGAACCATGTACCTTTGGGTTAGCGTGCAACTTCTCACCGCTAAGCTACCAAACCTCCCTATAATTGTAAGTATCGCAAGTAAATGCATGCTACTTGCTTACTGAGGAATCCACTTCTGGCACAACAGCACACCCCTCAGTTTAAAGAACTTCCCCCCCTCCCACTCATCCCCACGGCCACAAACTGCCGTGAGCTGCAGCCTGAACCTTCCAAGCTATAAAAGTTAGCAGACAGCCAAAAACAGGAATTGCAGTCTTTTTCATATAAACCGCAGAGGGCGTGTTTATTAGTGACTTTGGAGGGCTGGGAGTCAGCCTCACAGTTAAAGGCCGCCCAGCCTTACCCTTGGCCAGCAGCTCCAGCCCAAACAGGCTGCGCCCACATTCCCCGGCTGCTCTCCAGCTTGCAGGAGCCCAGACAATAACACTCAGTGACTGAGCTGAACCCAGAAGGGAGGCTGCTAAGGGGAGGAAGCGGCAAGGAGCCACCAAGTGGAGACGAAATGTCCGGCCCGCAGATGCTGGGCCTCGGGAGCACCACCCTTCTGGGCTTGATCACAGGTGCTGCTGTGACCATCTTGCTGTTGCTGCTGCTACTGGCCACTTGCCTGTACCATGGCCAGCAGGACCATGACGTGGAGAGGAATCGTCAAGCAGCAAGGAGAAACCGAGTCCTGTGGGCTGGGCCTTGGCTCCTCCGGGGCGGGGGTCGAGGTCGAGGCCGGAGTCACATGGGACACCTTCACCATCCGCACCATCCTGGCCATGCATCTCACATGCTGCATGCCGGCCTCCACCACCACCACCTGCATCACTCTCCTCATCACCACCACCACCCTCACCGAGGACGCCGCTGATGCCCATGGGTGGCTGTTACCACCTGCCCTGTGGTCTTCAGGATAAACAGACTCAGATCTTTGGAGTGGAAGATCATCTGGCTACTGTGAGGAGTCCCGTCCAGGCTTTATCTACATACTATGCCCCAGTATATAGAGGAACTCCAGGGGTTGAGGTGCTAGTACTGGAAGATTGGGGGAGGGAGGAGGACAAGGGACAGGGATGGTCCTTTGGGGATAGACATGTTTGTGACTCTATCTTCCAGAAGTAACAAGAGTGCTGCAATCAACTCCATGCACCAGGGTGTGAGGACACACCGCTGGACCAAACGCACTCTCTGTAAAGTGCTCATCTATGGACTTGCTCACTAGATAGCTACAGGGCCCTGGCCAGTAGAGATGGGCAGGAGGGACCCTGGGAATGACCTTTTTGTCTTAAAAAAGGCAATACAGTAAATGAGTTGTATAGCCATTTCATTGGTATCTTTATTCTCGAAAATAAAAATCACAAAGACACTTTTGTGAAGAGGCTTTTGTTGCAAGCTGAGTAGGCAGGAGCGCAGGAGCTGCCAGATTGGTGTCAGCACCGCCCTGGGACCATCTCCTAGACAGGAACAAGGCTCCTGGTCTGACCTCAGAGAGGATTCAAGGTTCCCCCAGGGCCCTGCATGGGATGGGCTCTCGGTCCCCCAGTGGCGCTCTTGACCTTCCAGGGGCTCAGAAAAGGGAGAGTGGAGGAATCAACCCCCACAATGCTTCTAGTCCATCTCTAGGGCAAAGGGAGCTCTGGGCCCTGCCCCACCACTGGGCTCCCTTGAATTCAGTGTTCCCTTGGTAACTGGGTCAGAGTTTCTTCTCCAGGCCCTGCTTAGTAGGTAAAATGCTACATTCACATAGTAAAAATCAGTCCCTGAGCAGACCTTAGTAGGAAAATAAAATAAGCTTGTATGATGTGAGGTGTTATAACTCTTTGCAACTGGGTATACTTACAATGTCTGTGTATGTTTAACATGTATCCAAACTGTAAAACAAACTATAAAAGTGACAAGTTATTTGGAGAGGACAGAAAGAATCTGAGGTTGGATACCTCTCTATCTGCTTTAGTGTGCTCATAAACAAAGCTCTCTTTTTTCCTCACCTCTGTGAGGTTCCTAATTGGTGAGAATAGCATCAGTCTCCTTTAGATGGCTTGGGATAGTGGAGAGGCTTGCAGGGAAGAGGTCGGGCAGAGGCCAAGACAGGCATCATCAGGCTGGGAAGCACCGGCAGAAAAACCCTGTGTCTGGAGAAAAAGTCTAGACCCCCAACTCCCTGTCCCCTCGCTGAAGGGCCAGAAAAAACTCCTCTCTTTGAGACAGGGCCTCAGTGTAGAGTGTGGACCACCAGCTCTGACTGTGCTTAAGCTACTCAGTTCTTCATTTACAAAGTACTTACCTCTTAGAGTTTTGTGAAGATTAAACAAGTTAACATGTACAAAGCACTTACACCAGTTCCTGCCTTGGTAATTTGCAGCAGAATTTGAGCTAGATGACTGGGGGAATCTCATCATCTTGGAGTTCGTGGTTCTGTGTCATAGAGCCTACAAAGTCCTCCAGGACTGAGAATCAGGTTCTGACAAATTAACTATAGCCTAATGGGTAAGGAGTTTCGCTGCCAACTCAAAGGCAGGTGGTTTTAATCCACCAGCTGCTCCTCAGCAGAAAGAAGGGCAAATCTGCTCCCATGATACTTACGGACTGAAAACGAGTCGGTTCTGACTCCATGGCAATGACCGAGCTTAGTGAGGCACCACAAGCACATTTTCTCTAGGGAATCCAATCAACTGTCTCAAAATCTTCAGTTTTGCTGAGCCTTGAAGCCGCGCAGGGCAGAGAGTCAACCCTCAGTGTGGAGTTAAAGGCTGCTGAGCTGAGCTTGTTTGGCACCTGCCTCGGGCATGATTTCAGGTGGGCACCACTGAGCAGTTTCCACTAATCCAGACAGTCCAACTCCTCCCTCAAGCATAGTAGACACAAAAACAAAGGGGTGGCGGGGGTACTAGTCCTCAGGCGAAAGTCCAAGGGGGTGTCGGACAAGGTGCAGGCTGACATTCCCAGACTCTACAAATATGAAAGTCAGACAAGAGCCCGAGAGGTATTTCCTTGTCGACTTATCAATGCTGTCAACAATGTGCTCATCATGAAACTGGCAGAAGGGAGGGGTACAATTTAGAAATTGCCTCCAGTGCTTGAATTGTGGGGCATCATTTGGAGATTGTGCCTGGGTACAATTTCTGTGCTCGCCACAGGTGCCAGTGTCTCTGTAAACAGCAGCTCCTTGCTCCTTCTCACGTCCCTGTGCAGCAGCTATGACACAACATTCCTGCTTGGAGGAAACATTCCAGAAATCAGAGCGTAGGCCAGGAGCAGTCCTTTACTCCCCTCCCTCCCCCTGACCCCAGCCTCCTAAAATCATCATAGACAAGAGCCTTCCCAGGCCTGCTCACTTGCTTGGGACTTTCAGTACGCTCCTGGACACCACTGTCTGCTAGGGTCTTGCCAGGCTCTTCTTCACATGCAATGGGGCCTCCTCAAAGCCCCAGCTTGGTCCCGGGATATTAAAAAAATGGATTCACAGGTTCCTCTAGGCCGTGTCACCACCTCCTCCCTCTAGGCTCCTTCCTTGGTGTGAGCCACCTGAAATAATGTTTAAGGAGTCAGTGCCAACTCCACTGTGCTCTCTGAGCTCCGCACCAACTCCACTGTGTGCAACACCAACCCCTCGGCCCTGACAAAACTTGTTTCCTCCTCTTTACAAGTCTCGGCACAGGAGGGAACCTCCAGGATCTTCCTAACCTGATGAGGACAGACATTGCGGAGGTCAACCACACCTCTGGCAAGCACTGAATTTTTACCTGCAGGAGCATAATGACTCACTCAGGCAAGATCTCTAAGCTGTTCTCTCACCACAATTTCAAGACCAACAGGTGCTGATGCTCTTTGACAGCAGAAATGCTCTCCCCTCTCCTGGTCTGGATGACTCAGTCAGGTAGCTTCATGTTTGTGGTATCTTGGAATGTCATTTGGCACCTCATTTGGTGCCCTCTTGGACTGGCATCAAGGACGTCTGACATAGCAGCACAGCCCTCACCCACACCTCCATCTACAGAGCTTAAGGAAGGACCTTGGGCCTTTGGGTTAATTGAAACTGCTCAGTGGTGGCTAGGGCACATGGTAGGCCTCTGTTCCCATGACCTCAATTGGAGATCAAATTCTCTCAGTGAGGATTGTATCCTTAGAGAAAAACTCAGCATGAAAGACATTTTTTTCAACCATAATTGGGCCCCAGGGACACCACATCTAATGACCCTTGGGATATGCCCTCAAGGGGAATAACTTGAACTTTTAATGATGTTGAAGTCACAACTCCCTCCGGGGAGCCCTGCTTCTGTCCTCAAGTGACTGTTAAGCAGGGAAACCTGCTGTAATGAGGAGCTGAAAGTTCAACAGGGAATTTTCACTCTGTGGGGAACTTCTCTGAGGAGGCTCCCAGTCCACACTGTTCACTGGAGAGTAGAGCAGGGCTCTGCAATCTACAGGTGCAGACACCTCCATTCATCTCAGAAGGGTCCTTGGAATCCCCTACACAACTGACTGTCAGGTAAGGAAACAGGCAGGAGACAACAAGGGATATGCCTGAGGTACCCAGTTTGGTAAGCTGTTCTCTATAGCAGGTAAATATCTAATTTCTATCCACAGGGTGAGGTGAGTACTAAGGACAAGAGGCTGAGAGCAGCTGAAAGTGCCATGACTGGGATAAAAGAGAAGATGTGTGGGTATAAGGAGTCCCTATTGTCATCCATCACATATAAGGCATTTCTATTTCTTTAGTGTAAATGGAAGTGTACCGATATTCTTTCTTTTTTAAGAAAAAAAAAATTCTTAACAAACAAAATCCAAATCTCAAACAAGTAACTTATTATCATGGTGGAGGGGGGAAATGAGGTTTTCCCATCTGAACAGGATAGAGCAAGGTTTAGTGCTGTTGTACATAGGGTCCCTATGAGTCGTAGGCAACTCAATGACACATAACAACAACAACTCCATCAGAACAGATATGACAGTGGATATCTTGTTAGATACTTTGGACACTCAGGAGAAAGCACTTAGATTGCAGTTTCTGGGCTTTCAGAAATTGCCCGAGATCTTGTTAGAAGGTTGCACTGGACAAAGAGCTTGAAGTACTGGTGATTTAGAGGAACTCGTGACCATGCTGAGCTCTGGTGGCCTAGTTGTTATACTGCCAACCCAAAGGTAGTCGGTTTGACTCTACCAGTTGCTCCATAGAGAAAGATGACCAGTCTTCTCCTGTGTGGTTTATACCCTCTGAAAACTCACTGGAAATTCTGGCTTGATATCAGTGAACTGAGTGGAGTTGATTTGTGGCCACACCTAAAGGTTTCTTGACTTGGAAAATCTGTCTTGTGAAGGTTTCCTGACTTGGAAAAGTGGTCCTGTGAAGGTGTCTTCTCCCAGAGTTGGCTCTTCTGCATACTCCACAGCAGCCTTATGAATCATATTCATAGCAACCCTATAAACTGTAGATCTGAACCCTGTCCTATCCTGCACCAACCTCACAATCTCTGATACAGTCGAGTCCATTGTTTCAGTCACTTGTCAATCCATCTGGTTGAGGGTCTTCCTTTCCTTTACTGTCCTTCCACCTTTCCAAGAATGATGTCCTTCTGCAAGTTACAGCCTCTCCTAGCAACACACCCAAAGTGCATGAGAGGAAGCTTCTCCATCCTTGCTTCCAAGGAGCACCCTGGCTGTACTTTCTTCAAGACATATTTATTTGTTCTTCTGGCAGACCATGGGAGATTCAGAACCCACCCCCAACACCACAATTCAAAGGCATCAATTTTTCTTCTGTCATCCTTATTTATTGTCCAGCTCTCAGATGCAGATCTCAGTGTTCCCCTACCCCAAATACAAGAATGCAATGATATGTGGGAAATATAGTGAGATCCCATGATCTGATAA